TAAATGAAGATTGTTGAATGCATAGCGACAATATTTTGAATCAACAGAGCGCGGATGTGCGAAATCGTAGTCGACGCACACGCAAATATACACAATGTACAGCGATAATGGCATGCTTACGTGTGTATCTGCGGTGCGCAAGGTTAAATGCGATATTACCATAGAAACACCGAGAAACAAGTGTTCGGGAAATCATCGAATGTAATCGGAATGTAACGGCGGATTAAAGTTGATCGGGAGATTAACCTTTTCGATGTGCTCCGACCCCTATTTCTCTCTTTCTCTCTTTGCCTAACGTGTTCTATATTGCCTCAATTAATATTTACAAATTTATTTATGCATTTACATGTATTATGGAACTGAATTTTTCAGTCTCTGAAAATATTCCCTTGAAAGTATTATGAATTTATTTACACATGCGAATAAAGAGAATACTGTGCAAATATTTGTAGTAAATGTGTGCCGCAGCACATATTTAGAATTTTTTTTTAACGCGATTTTTTTTCGATGAAAATATTTTCATTGAAAATAAAATATTGTCGTATTATTTTCCTTCTCCTCCCGACTTTTTTTTAAGACCTCGAAGTTGATACAGATATTATTTAACTACATCATCGTTTATCGCATATTTCGATTCTATACTCGTGATGATTTTTCCTAAAGTCAACTCCTCGATTTAAATTAAGAAAAAAAAATATTCTGTTATTAATTTATATCCCCCCAATAATTTGTATAAAATATTCTATAGTATTAATATCCTTTTTCTGTTGAAGAAATAATTAAAAATTAAAATCTTTATCAAACTTACAGAATTAAGACTGCATCTGAATTTCTAAAAATCGTCTCCATCATCGCAAATCGGCGATAATGACGAACGTCGGGAGATTTGAAATCGGTATTAATATTCTTTTTCTGTTGTAAAAATTATTAAAAATTAAAATCTTTATCAAACTTACAGAATTAAGACTGCATCTGAATCTCTAAAAATCGTCTCCATCATCGCAAATCGGCGATAATGACGAACGTCGGGAGATTTGAAATCGGTATTAATATTCTTTTTCTGTTGTAAAAATTATTAAAAATTAAAATCTTTATCAAACTTACAGAATTAAGACTGCATCTGAATCTCTAAAAATCGTCTCCATCATCGCAAATCGGCGATAATGACGAACGTCGGGAGATTTGAAATCGGTATTAATATCCTTTTTCTGTTGTAAAAATTATTAAAAATTAAAATCTTTATCGAACTTACAGAATTAAGACTGCATCTGAATCTCTAAAAATCGTCTCCATCATCGCAAATCGGCGATAATGACGGACGTCGGGAGATTTGAAATCGGTATTAATATCCTTTTTCTGTTGTAAAAATTATTAAAAATTAAAATCTTTATCGAACTTACAGAATTAAGACTGCATCTGAATTTCTAAAAATCGTCTCCATCATCGCAAATCGGCGATAATGACGAACGTCGGGAGATTTGAAATCGGTATTAATATTCTTTTTCTGTTGTAAAAATTATTAAAAATTAAAATCTTTATCGAACTTACAGAATTAAGACTGCATCTGAATCTCTAAAAATCGTCTCCATCATCGCAAATCGGCGATAATGACGAACGTCGGGAGATTTGAAATCGGTATTAATATCCTTTTTCTGTTGTAAAAATTATTAAAAATTAAAATCTTTATCGAACTTACAGAATTAAGACTGCATCTGAATCTCTAAAAATCGTCTCCATTATCGCAAATCGGCGATAATGCATGACGGACGTCGGGAGATTTGAAATCGGTATTAATATTCTTTTTCTGTTGTAAAAATTATTAAAAATTAAAATCTTTATCTAACTTATAAAATTAAGACTGCATCTGAATCTCTAAAAATCGTCTCCATTATCGCAAATCGGCGATAATGCATGACGGACGTCGGGAGATTTGAAATCGGTATTAATATTCTTTTTCTGTTGTAAAAATTATTAAAAATTAAAATCTTTATCGAACTTACAGAATTAAGACTGCATCTGAATCTCTAAAAATCGTCTCCATTATCGCAAATCGGCGATAATGCATGACGGACGTCGGGAGATTTGAAATCGGTATTGCCGCGAAATAGGCGTAACCCGGCTGCGATGTTAATCGCATTAGCGCAACATCGCGCGATAAATCAGATAATTAGCGGCCGTTAAGCGCATCGTAAATCGGCATTATCAGAATCGGGTGTCAGCATTTTGACATGGGGCGCCACGCGTTGTTTGGCGACGCGTTGCGGCGAAGCAGCCTGTGTACTTAACAAATCTTGCGAACACCGAAATTGTTGATCGTTTATCAACTATTATCCTGCCGGCAACGCGGTTGTTGTTTGCACTGCAGCGTTTCGATGACGCCATGAAAAAATGTTTGACAGACCGATTTTTTTTCATCAATCCCGAGCTCTCATTGCTCTTGACAGAGCAATCTCGTCAAAAAAATCTCGTGAAATGCACAATAAAATTTATCGTAATGTAATGTGACGTATATATGCATAATAAAAATATATTGAAGTCGTAAGAAGATATTCTATATATACACGCACTTGTTGCATAATACACGATACGAATATTTATATTCGGATATTTATATTGACATTATTGTCTCTTTATCGAATTAATAAACCACTGCCTACGTCAGGAACCATGTGAATATTAATGAATCCATTCTATATATATTGTGCAAATATGTCAATTCTAATAATAATCGTAATGAGCCTGGCAAATCGATTACATTTTTAGCTTTACACACAATTTGTGAATAATAGTAATGAGCGCTTTGAAAGCGCGCTTGTAATATTTTCAAGAGTCTGAAACGTTCCCACGCATAATCCGTATATGCGTTTAACAAGTTCTCCCTTTGGTTCGGCTCCGAAAAAGCAATCGCCTTCGAGCACGGCAAAGTTAATCGCGACACGGCACTAGTCGATGTAAACTATCCTTCGATGATACTTCTCTAAGTCCTGAGGATATTACGAATCAATTCCCCGAGGCGATCGGCTCTCTTGTCCCCCTATATACGATTCCCACAATTTCCCATACGCTTTACACCGGCACGTCTTTAAAGGGGGTCCTCGTTGGGGTCGGAACACTTCTGTGATCGATGAAATCATATGTCGAGCTTGCGGTTTTTATTCGCGAATTAATTACGCGTTTAATGACCATACACAGAGAGAATTTTCTCGTAGAATTTACCCTAAAAATCATGGTAATGGTGGAACAATATAGTATTGGAAGAATTTTATAAGAGTTTTTCTGATTAATATTTACTACATTAAAAATATTAATGCTACACTAAAAATATTATTGTGGAAAATATTAATATTTTTAAATAATAGAATAATTTCCCTGTCGACAGTGAAATAAACCTTGCAATTAATAATTATGATAATCGTGGGACAACATGGTATTGGAAGAATTTTATAAGAGTTTTTCTGATTAATATTTATATACCACAATACAAATATTAATATCTATCACATAAGTTATAAAATATACTCGATTAATTTTACTATGTACATAGTAAAATTTACTATGTGCACTGTAAACAAAATTTGTTAACTTGACTAAACCTTTCAACTAAATATTATTTTGTTAATCGAACATATAAAAATATTTAAATTAAATGTGACATATTAAATCTAACGAAACGTATATTTGACTTAAATACTAATATATGTTCAATTAACAAAATAGTAATTTAGTTGAAAGGTTTAGTCAAGTTAACAAACTTTTTTTTTACAGTGTACCTATTAATATTTTTTATTATGGTAAATATTAATCAAGAAACTCTTATAAAATTCTTCCAATATCATATTGTCCCACGATTAACATGATTTTTAGGGTAAATTCTAAAAGAAAATTCTCTTCGTGTACATTACGAATTTGATGCATTTTTATTTATAGCAAAGGTCGGACTAAAGATCTCGTTATATTAAAAAAAATTGGAACGTTCGCGGAGGAAAAATTTAAAAATAATTTGCCGAGAATGTCAAGGTGTAAAAAGGGTTGCGTTCAAATTGAAATACTCAAGCGTATTTAAATGTATGTTTAAAAATTCGTGACTTTACGTTTACTTCTTCTTGATGTTTCAAGCAAAAAATAATAATGTTATAAAATTGTATTTTACCTATTTCGAAAAAGCGAGAAATTTAATTAAATATGTATTTATGTATCAATTTTTCCTATTATTATTCTTCCCTTATCTCTATTTTATAAAAAAATATTTGTCGTTATGATATCTTTAATAAAAAACTATTATATATAAATCCTTTGCATGTTAAATGTAAATAAACATCTCTTTGTATTTAAATGTTACCGAAGTAATAATTCCATATAATATTAAGTATTTCAATATTCATATATGTATAATACACACATATATACATATAAAACTAATTAATAATTTCTATAGATATGTGCATTTTGTGACAAAATATCATTTTTGTTTTGCCAAAATTATTGTGTAATTATTCACTACTATTCATAATTTTTTAAAGAATATATTCTAGTTATGAAATATTTCTTATATTTTTCATTTGTTTAGAAGTTCAGATTTATGAAAGTAATATATTCTAAGTAATTAATATGTTAAAAATAAGAGTTGGACATAAATAAATTTTATATTTACCCTTAAAACAGATGTTTAAGAACTAAAAACTAAAAATCATCAAAAAATATCTTTTTAAATATAAATGTTGAAAAATAAAAATAAAAATTTTATATGTAGAGAGAATATAAATAATTCTAAAATTTTTTAAATACATAATATTGAGATATTTGATAGCTCCATGTAAATATTAATAATGTAATATTTTATTTTAAAAATTTAAGTATTTTCAAATAAAATTCGATAAGTGTAAAATATTTAAGACGAATTTTATTACGCAATAATATAAAATAGATAACTAATGCGCAAAGATAAACAACTAATAATTTTACGAATATCCAAATAATAAATTTAATTGTAAATTACTCACCCCAGGATTGCTTTATCGTTGCCTCTCCAGACTTCTCTTCCTTTTCTTTTGTTCGTCCTTGGTTGCTTCAACATGGTACTCGCAAAAACACGATTACTCGCTCTAATTAACAGAATAAAACAATCGAAATTTTACGTTATTTTATGACATTAATCGCATTTTATTATATTACAGCAAAAAAAATTACGATTGGCGAATCGAAAATCGCGCGAATAAATATGCAAAAATACGATACACAGATATCAAAATATGTGTAATTATGATCGTATCCATTAATATTAAATGCAACATAAAATCGCTCGATTTAAAATCAATCTGTCATGTATTCGCAATGTTTTTAAAATAACCGAAAAATTCGAAAAATCAGTGATACAGCATGATTAAAATACGATTAACTCAACACAACACGCTTAACTTTACAAATATGTAACATTTTCGCAAAATCATTTTCCTTATATTTTCTCGATTTTTTCGAAAATGTAGATCGATCTTATTAAATTTTATTAACAATAATTTCCTATCTTCGTTTTAATAAGCAAAAATTACAAATTTTCAATAGTAAAAGTAATAACAAAATTAATAATAAATATTTAAATTAATTATTATTAATAAACATATTATTAACAATTATAATATTATAATTAATATTTTAATTAATAATAATAGCAAGAATTTTCAACAGTAAAATTAATAACAAAATTAATAATAAATATTTAAATAAATTATTAATAAATATTTCTTCAAAAAACTTGAATTTTAATGCATCTTACATCGCGCTTGAAATTTTTCATCGAGTCACATACACATACTATATAATAATAATTTATAAATCGTTTGCCAACTGAATGCGCAATAATGAAACACGTATACGAGTGAAATAAGGAAAATCGTGATATATTATTCGCTTGTTGATAATTAATTTATATTCAAGAATATATACTCGGAGAATATTTCTCGTTTCCATTTAGCTTGTAATATGCTAAATACTTCGTGGCGACGAATTAAAAAATTCGAACGGGAAGGTTTGACGTAAGTATCCCCTTACAACATCGTAATAATCCTCGAGAAAAATGCATACATTCCCATCTATGTTACAATTAACGATTAATAATTAATAAGCGTACCGCAGCAGGTATTTCGCGCGGCATTAATTCATTTAAAACAGAAACAATATATATCTCTCGAGAGAGGTTTCATAGGATTAATGTGTCTGAAAAATACACATATCGCACAGTACTCGATTTTAATTATACCTTTCCCGACGATACGTCGCGTCTTAACTAGTCATTAATTCGATTTGCATAATATATCGCGCGGTATCGAAGTAAAGTCATCCGATATCATTCATATGTGCGATATTACTCCCGTATATTTTAATGTTTATCAATCGCGTACCTTAAGTTCAATATTTGTAAATCATTTTTAAAACGCGTATTTCGCGACATTTATTCGGCTGGAAATTGGTCATGCGAACAGTCGGCAAACCTAATTACGAATTTTCGAATATTACACAGTTCGCGAATATTGATTTATAAATCGTATGTTTATTCACACTTGTATGTTATAAAACGAGATAGTAATTAGTTGTCATCCTAAAATAAGTCTGCGTGTCAGGGAATATTTTAAGGAATGATTAATGCAATTTCTCTCCTTCTTTTTTATTACAATATTAGATAAACTAAATGAGCTAATGAAGTAATATAACAAAATAATAAAATGCAGGTGGTAAGTAACATCGGAAGTGATGAGTAATCATTTTATTAATTAGTTTCGATCATATTAATTTTGCATTCAATCATAATTAATCGCGTTTCCACAACTGAATGCATAAGTACTATATTGAAACAATCAAAATTGAACAAGAGAAGGCGCATCGGACAAGAGTGAGTAATTCATAATTTTTTAAATTAATTTTTTTGTTACCCCTCTCCGCATTTGTCATGCATTTTATATCATTGCATAATATAATGCATACAAAATATTGTACAAATTTTATTTTAAAAAACTTGAAATAATTTTAATAAAATAATTAATTAAATATGTATATATTGATAATAAATAGATTTATTCAATTATAGTTTTTCTTAAATATTTATGCAAAAATCAAATAAAAAATTTAAGGAGTTATGTGCAATAATTATTTTTTAAATATGAATTTTTAAACACGACTTTATAATTTGTAAATATTTTTGCAAACCAACTTTATGCAATATATTCGCTGTTGCACATCGTACGTGAGTTTTAAATTAATTATTTATTTTAGTCTCAAAAAATAATAGATTTGCGAAAACTGTGAAGCGAATAAATATGAAATACCTATATTAAATAAAAAGAATTGAAATTGAATTTTATCCCAAGTTATAAATTGATAATGCAAAAACTATCGTACAATAATCGCAATAGTCAAATGTATATATCCCAATCAGCAGAAATCACAATCGATTACTTGATCAGCAAATAATGGCTATTGAATATTCATTGTCTTTCATACTCCTAAATTATACCTACATATATGCTCGCTAGTTTGCTTTAGCCTTGTACTGTTATATGATGACAAATATCTGGCTTGGCCTTTTAATTCAACACACACACATTCATAAATGATCACAAAATATATTGATGAAAACGCAGATATGAGCAGAATTACACGTGTCTTCTAGGCTTTTTTATCGTTATAACATATATGTATTTAATTGAAAACTATTAGTTTATCCATTTATATACGGTTTATTGCATATCATTTTTTTTAATATTATCTTTACCATCCCCAAATTTATATTACAACGTATAAAAAAATTTTTTTTCGGATTGTCGATACTCTCTATTTTCTCTCATCAATTTATAGCAACTTTGGAGTCGATTTTAAATTAAAAAATTAAAATTAAAAAATTCTACACACTCCCTCTGTCATCTCTTCGTTTAAAAATATTTATTTTCAATAATAAAATTCGATGTGAAAAATTCACTATATATTTCCTCGAACGTCATTGCAGCCGGGAGAAGACAAAACGGTTTCGCTCCCAAAAACTGCATCCGCTGCACTTTGTAATTTCCCAGTGCTGTCCGGAGAAAGACGAAGGGCGGCACGTGACTTACCCCATCATCGTGGCACGGCGGCGGTCGCTCGGAATGTTTTGACAGGGGGTGGATGCGTCACGTGGCGCATAGCTGTTTGTAAAACATCGCCGGCTCCTTTATCGGCGCCGATATTAAGCGGCCCGCCTCGGCCATTGTTCGCATTGTCGCGACTCGATTGCCGAGGAAGAAGGGTGGCAATATACATATATACGAGGGGGTGGCATTGTCGACGAGGTGCCGCCGTGATTTCTCTATATCTCACGCGCACGTTAATCTAATTGAAAATAAATCCCCTGTAACCGAGACGCGGCAGCGATAATCCTCACGAGAATCTCATGGCTGACCAATTTTATTCTTTCGTGTAGATCGGTATGCAGCTATAATATAGTAAATGGTTGTATTCAAATCGAGGATCAGCGAAGTCAGTTGTCTGAATAACGGGGTATTTTTTAATTTTTCATCAGCGCGATATTAAGCTTCCTTAAGTTTTCTATATATTTAATAAGATTATAAAGATATCTTTTCTAATTAAAAGTTCAAATATTTTTCATACATTTTTTATTTAAATTTGTATGAGAAAAATATAAAATTATTTTAATTTATAAAATTAAATTTAATAAGTAAATTAACAAATTTAAACTTGTTATTTAAAAAAAAAAAAAAGAATGAAACGTTTTATGTGAAAAAAATAATTTAATTTTTTTCCGTATGAATTTAAGTATAAAATGTATAAAAAAATATTTGATTCAATTTAATAAATTAAATTTAACAAGTAAATTAATAAATCTTTATTAAGCGAAGTTATTAAATTTTCAAGCAATCAATTTCGACAATATACACTTCGAAAAATAAATATATTATTAATTTCCTCAATTTTCCCCAATTTTCTCAGAAACGAAATTATTTCCTTCTCGACTGTACTATAGTTTTCGACCTACTTTAATAATAGAAAAAAAAATAGTATCGTTAAAACATATATATAATATTTTACTATTCCTTGCGTACGAGAGCAGACTAGAACGAAGGGATATTTCTCGGGCAAGAACAAACTTCGGACTCGGTCCTCCTCCGCGGATGCGAGCGCGTAATCTGCGCGCGATTTATACGATTCGCGGTCCGCGACGTAGGTAGTTCGTGGAGTATCGCGAATCGTCACGCAACGGGAGGGTGGCGGACGGTGTCTCTGACGAGGGATGGAAACGCGGAAACGTGACGGCTACGTGTCCCTATTGTTTGCGCGACGAAAGTAGGGACCCGCGGACGCGCGAGCGCTTATTTACACGGGACAAATAGACAAACAAGGAATTGCCGCGCGGCTCACCGCGAGCGCCGTGCATCAAGCTCATTCGGAGGAGTCTTGCGATAATTAGCGTCGATAGGAAACGAGAGCGAAACGGGACAAATTTATTGATACAACTTCATCGATATTACGTACATAATATTCGATTTTTTTTTTTTAAGATCGTGCAAATAGATCGTAAAAAATTGGGTTCAATTCAACTTTTTGAATTATATCTTATAGGATTTTTATTGAAAAATAAAATAAAATCCTTATTAAATAATAAAATAAAATCCTTATTGAATTTTTAGCGACATCGCGCTGTCACAATAAATTGTGAAAATAAGTGCGTAAACATGGAATTGCAAGATGTAAGTACAATAAATAAATAAATAAAAATATATATACAGATTTCTTATATACTTATGTAGATTAAATACTAATAATAATGTAATATATAATTAAAATATAATATATACAACTTCACCGCCATTACGTACATAATATTCGATTTTTTTTTAAGATCGTGCAATAAAAAATTGGGTTCAATTCAACTTTTTGAATTATATCTTATAGGATTTTTATTGAAAAATAAAATAAAATCCTTATTGAATTTTTAGCGACATCGCGTTGTCGCAATAAATTGTGAAAATAAGTGCGTAAACATGGAATTGCAAGATGTAAGTACAATAAATAAATAAATAAAAATATATATACAGATTTCTTATATACTTATGTAGATTAA